GGCAACCCCCCCAAAGCCAGTCCTCAGATCGCAAACTGAACTTTTTTTGCTTTCTTGAGCCATGCGACACCGCAGCCGTTGCGCATTCACTCCGCAAGAATGCGGCTGACCCCTTTCCCCCCAGCAGCCCTCCGCAGGCCACTGTCCTCTCTCACAACCCCAAAAGCCCAACACCAGAAAAGAGCATACGCCTTCCAAACCTCTGGCATCCCCACCTCCTTTCAAGTCTTCAACAACCGCACAAAATGGCTCCAGCGCGAGCGCGCCGCCTCCAACGTCGAAGCCAGCCGACAGGCAGACTATCTGAAAGATGAAGTCGCCATGCGCGTGGCTGAGCGTCTTTTGGTAAGGGCTGGAAGGGATCTCTATTTCCCATGCGCCATGAATCAAAACCGCTTACACCTATCTTCTCCAGGACGTGAAAAGAACCTTCCCACTCACCCTCGACTTTGGAGCTTACACCGCCTCCCTCGCCCGCGCGCTCACAAACCCCAACCCGGATCCCTCTCAGCCCGACACCGACATCCCACCTCTGGCCACCAAAATCGGGACACTCGTCGCCGCTGATTCGAGTCAGAAGGCGCTCTTTCGGGATGCCGAGTTGGAGTTCAACAAGGGGATCAACATGGAGAGGGTGGTGTTGCCGTACGAGGAGGGCCCGCTGCCGTGGGAGGATAACACGTTTGACATGGTGCTGTCGAGCCTTTCCATGCACTGGATCAACGACTTGCCTGGCGTTCTCGGGCAGATCAACAGGATACTGAAGCCGGATGCGCCGTTCATCGGGGCCATGTTGGGCGGCGACACGCTGTTTGAGCTTCGGACTTCTTTACAGCTGGCTGAGCAGGAAAGGAGAGGTGGCATCGGTGTTCATGTCTCTCCGCTAGCGGATGTAAAGGATATTGGAGGACTGCTGGGGAAGGCAGGGTTCAAGATGTTGACGGTGGATGTGGAGGATATTGTGGTGGAATATCCTGATACGTTTGCGCTCATGGAGGATCTACAAGCAATGGGAGAGGGCAATGCCGTGCTGGGTAGGGAGATGGGCGCGATTGGAAAGGATGTTTTGCTAGCTACGGAGGGAATCTACCGGGAGCTTCACGGGAACAAGGATGAGGATGGGACTGTGAGGCTACCAGCGACATTCAGGGTGATACACATGATTGGGTGGAAAGAAGGAGCTGGCCAGCCCCAGCCATTGAAGAGAGGGAGTGGCGAGATCAACTTGAGAGATATCCTGGGCACAAAATAGGCAGGGTTTATACAGATGATTCACCTGCGGTGGTGTGGAAGCTGAAATGTTGGGTCGATGATATGTATAATTTTGGCCAGTCGCTCATGAAAAACGCCTTGTAAAACATAACTCCTTCAACGTTCTATCCCTCCTCCACGTCTCTGTATCTTCGCACTCCCCCCGCTGAATGAACGCATTATACCCTCCGGAAGTCAGTCATGACTCTGCCGATGCATCCCAGCCCAGCCACATCCACCACCTTCTCATGCCAACTAAGCAAGACACTCATGGCGGTGCCGGTGGAGTCACCAGAAGTTATCCCAGGTCTGCCGCCAATCTGGCTGAACCCTGTCGCCTGGGGCGTCATCAGTTTGGCTGGTGTTCTCGGGCCATTGCCGGTGTGATGGCTGGCGACACCGCTCGACGTAGCCGCCATACCCTTGTAACTGTTTCTCAATGTCAGCATGTTCAAATGCTCGCCTTTAAACCCCCCCCCCCCCCCTTTTCGTGCATCCCACCCCGCAAGAACAATAACTCACAGGTACTTCATCAGCACATCCAGACTCTCGCTGCCCCTGTCGTCCTGGTAGATCTTTTGCAGCAGCGGCGTCATCTCGTTCACCTTGATCCTCTGCAGCACCTCAATGACGGTCTGCAGGTGCGTCTCCTTGGCGAGGTCGGGGGCGTTGTAGATTGGGTTCTCGAGAGCCGACCGCAGCGCTCCCTCGGCGTCGCCCGCGTGGAGGAGCTGGCGGATCTGAGATTGGAGGTTGCGGGCATCCTGATCGGAGAATTCGGGCTGAGGGGGGTGGAGGGTGGAGAGGGGGAAGTTCTGGGAGGAGTCGGGGTCGAGGGCGTCGATGTTGATTGTGCGCCAGGCGTCGGTGAGGGTGGATTCGGTGTGTTCTCGGATGATGGACATGTTGGGCTATGGCTCTGGAGTCTGTTTTGTTTGTAGAGTTTCAACGATTGCAAATCGGGGTCGAAGCAATGACGGTGGGAAGCCGTGATGTTGGGAGATGGTGTTGGTTGAAGCTCCGTGGAGTGGAACTGGGTTGCTGGACAGCTTGACGTTGCGCAGGCAGGGAGACAAGCCCCAGGCAAGCTGCGCCTGCCCCGCATTGGGCGGACGGTGAACATACGGCCCCACACCGGGGTTCCACTGCTGGCTTGCGACGGAGGCCGGGCCCGCCTTCACGGGCTTCAATCGGAGCTTACACCATGCCTGTGTTTGTTATTAGGTACTTCCTAATCTTCGCCTTCATCTTCCCAGAGAAACACAACATCTGCATAAGCACCTAACCACATTTTGGTCAAGTATACAGCGTTTTCTTTTTCTTTTCCCAAGATTCTGACGTTCTTACTAACAAGCTCGACTAAGAAGCTTGGGAAGAAGCCTTCCATCCGGATCCCCGGTTCGACTTTTCAAGGTCTCGCCCTGGAGGTTCCCACACACACTTCCCGGAAACCCACATCCACCCACAACTCGCAAAATCCTTTTCCCTCCCATAAACTCTTCACTCGCTGTGAAACCCAATAACGAAACATGGTTGATCGTTGGCCACTGCCCGGCTAGCTCAATCGGTAGAGCGTGAGACTCTTAAAAGGAGTTCTACGAAATCTCAAGGTTGTGGGTTCGACCCCCACGTCGGGCTCAATTCCCGTCAAACGACAAGAATACCATGTTATTTTTTGATCTTTTCCTCTTGATTATCATCCAACTAGTTTGTGTTGCTGATTACTCGCTTTTGCTAGTTGAGTTGACCTCCTACAAGACATCAGTCCATCCTTGGCGGTGATTCCAGAACTTGAAGACCATAACATCCATGATGCCCGGTGGTTCTTCTGCTTTTTTGACCTTTGCTTCCAAGACACTCTCCATTATTTCTTTGTGTTTGATTCTGAGCAAGAGTTTCTGGTTAGCTTGTCTCGCTGCACAGCGGCTTTCCGAGCTAGATGGGTACCATACCCCTATTCGACTCATTATCTTCTACGTTCGTGGCATCCCAGCTTTCGAATCTTGCTCTACTGAACAATTGCATTGAGGTTCGCGTCATGTGTAAAAGACACATCGGCGCCGGTTCATAGCCTTAAGATTAGGAGGTCAAAGTGCTCGAAATCCAATCTTCGCGCATTGCGTTGCTTGTCTGTGGGCCCGAAACCATTCATGCAGGCACAAGCACATCAGCTCCTCCGCGCAGCCAACTCACAATGGCTCGTCTTCGCCAGAGGTAGTTTCACCATCGTCATGCTCGTTGATATAGCCATCGTTGTCAATTGATAGAGACTCATCATCATCCTCGTCACAAGGCCCTGCCATATCGTCGAACCCTGGGGAGTCTTCGTCGTCTTCCGGTTCTTCAATCTTGATGATTTCTCGACTTGTCTGGATACCATCTTGGTCGTCGTGTCTGATCACAGCTTCTGGAATCTCTGGCGATTCCTCAATCGATGGCAGAACGTCAGACGAGGGTTCCGGTCTTTGCTCCTTCTGAACCGTTTCTTGTGAGCCGCGCCATTCGGAATAGTCAGAGGAAATCTCTTCCGAATCGGGTATCTCTGATCGGAACCGTTTCCTTTCGATTCAACGTTATCCAGTTAACGAAGTCCTAACCTCAGCAGAAGAACGGTGACAGTTACCTGGGCGGAGAAGACGAAGTCCATTCTTGTTGCGAGTCTGAGATCTCCGACTTCCCTCGATATCTCGGAGCCGACAAAACTGCCTGTCTAGGACGCTTTGGGCTTGGTAGCTGAGGTGAACTGGGGGGGAGTGGCTCAAGTCTGGTTAGGCGCATCAATGCCATGTTGGCCGCGGGCGAATAGTGACAGACGTAGCCGACAAGTACTGAAGATATCGCGAGTATCAGCAGACCCTGCTAGAAACGGGGACAATCCCTACCGTCACCCTCTTTTCCTGAACTTCTGATGGTGTGCTGGCGGAGTCATGCTTGACATCGCAGGCTGTTGGGAAAGGAAGCAGCTTCCATCTGCAGATATGTGGTCAGTTCCGCGTAGTTCTTTTCTAGGCAGTAAACGTCATTTACTTTCAAGTGGTCAAACTCATTGTGTGGAAGGAGGGAGTGATGACGGCTCCCTCATGGCGACGGGACCAGACCAAAAGCTTCTCTGCCATCATGTCACCATATATCATTCTCCTTCATAATATCGAACACCAAGACCAGTTCATGGAAAGTCCTCTCGCATCCGCAAAGCACCGGTAGGTAGGACCAGGTAGCGAAAAAGGTTTCCCCATATATATAAAAATAATAGAATATGGGTGAGAGCAAAAGAGAAGCTTCAATGCATCAGCCGTGAATCGAACACGGGGCCCATCGATGGCAACGATGGATTTTACCACTAAACCACTGATGCTTTGTTGGGGCGATGTGTTTTTTTTGGAGTGGATCATGGGTTTGTGTATGTGGAGTTTGGATAGAGGTTGAATTGGAATAACAAGGTGAAGAGTTCTCAATTTTACACCTCCGACGATTAAGTAGCTAGTGTGATAGCAGAGAAAAACATTCATACTACCTAGCCTCTCTATATATTAAAAACGTAGTTAATATACTATAGAGATTCCTAAGTAAACCGAAAATGCAGTTATATAATATATGGAGAACCTTTATATAAGAAAAAGAAACCGAGCTTGAGCTTAGTAGAAATTAGAGACCTGCTTGCTTAAAGTGTTAGGGAGCATAGCTGCCCACAAACTAACAGTTATAACTTAAGGAGAAAAAAAAATATCGAATCGTTTCGACGGGAATTGAGCCCGACGTGGGGGTCGAACCCACAACCTTGAGATTTCGGAGTACTCCTACTTAAGAGTCTCACGCTCTACCGATTGAGCTAGCCGGGCGAGGCTATACCCATTGTTCGTTGTTTGTGCTGTCTGTCTGTGATCCTATGAGTAGGGCTCATCGTGTAAGTTGGGATGTGGCTGGTTCAGGTGTATTATCACTGACTCGGACTCGTCCCGGTTCCTGGCAAGACAGGCGTCAGGGATGAGGTGTCTTGATGAAGGCTCATGGAAGGAGAACTTCGTAGCTGAAGTGTTGTTTGTTCCTTGAACCATACGACAACCTTCATTCGCCAGAACGCCAACAGTTCATATCTTGTATAATCTGATATTATGCCAGCTGCCAGGCGCTCTGAGGATTTGCTGTGCAAGCATACCCTCGACTACTTACCTAGGGGTTTCTACCCTCCGTTAAAGACTTAGATCCATATATCCACACACTGTGTTCTTGTCGCCAATAGGTACTTTCACTAGCACGGCCAGCGTTAAAGATGAAAACGCCGAGATGACGGCCCACCAAGCTGAGCTCTGTCCGCCTCACTTTGCCTCATAAAGCTGAGTGGCCTTGCTGTGAGAAGGCCTTGTCGTCTTGTTTGTCTAGTGCTGGCTGGCCGCAAATTCTGATACACAGCTTCATCTTAGATCCTTTCTCGTGTTGCATTCTTCTTTGTTCTTTCACGCCGTTCGCCCCAGTTACCTACGCCTTGGTCTTTGCCCCCAAGTCTAGCTTCTCCTTGGAGATCCCAGCCGCCATCCACTCGGGACAGAGCTAGAAGTTCTCGAAGGCACAGGGCCCCTAGTCGTTTCCTTGTCTATTCCGCATTCGGGTTTCACCGCACCGTTTTAAATGCCCAGAGTCCAATGAAGTCCATCGAGATACTGACCGAGATCTTGATAGATATCCCCTTAGGGCCGATTCGTGTCTCTCCGTCATAGATGATCAACCCAAGAAACCCATCTCCTTCTTTCAGAGTTTTTGAGGCTAGTGGTCGACGATGTCTCAACCTGAAGCCTTTCAGCCTCTGATATGAGGTGCTCAATCACGGGTACAGGAGCTCCGAGACAAATGCCAGACCAGGGGACCCGGGAATTCGGTAAAAGAGGGCTTTACGCCGTCTGAATCCAAGACCGAGCCTGACCCCCGCTTAGGAAAACGTGGGAAGTGGAAAGTGGCAGGGCTAGAATCCGGTTGGCCTCAGGGTGTCAGACTACCGGTGGCGTATGGCGGCGTCAAGCACGTGGGACTAGCGATTATTAACGCCGTCAAGGGGTCGATAACTTTAAAAACGGCGGGTGTTCCCGTGTTGCCTTGGAAAAAAGCCTCCGTTTTGAGGTGGAAAAGAGTGACTTCGAAGGCATGTACTGCGATACCTCGTTCCCGTGTCACTATTTGCTTCTTTGCTCCCTTTTGATCATGGAACAGAGCCAAAGTCCAAAGCTGTCTTGGTGGCGGGAGCTTGGTTGGAATTTGCTTTTTTACTTCCCGTGTCTTTGGTTGCCTCTCTGTTATTCGCTGCCGCCAAGTCTCACAAAAAGGAAAACATTGGTGGTGCGTTGAAAAAGTTTTCAAAAAAGGGGAATTTGCGTCAGGGGAAAGTGACATATCAGAGTTGAATGGTGATGACGTCTCTCGTTTTCCAATAGCAGCACACAGCCGCGAAAGAGATTTTAAAACCGATGAGACATATCAAGTTTGTTGAGCTCGCCTGTCAAAGCATCAAGCACGACAGTGATAACAAGTTCAGCCTCAAGCCACACACCTGAAGCAAGGCAAGTGCCAGTCAACTGGTCACGCAGCGAGGACCCAAGGGATCGGGTTATCAAGTGATGCTGCAGGCCCAGCCATCATGCATCGGCAAATGGGAAGCGATGGCGCTGGAAGCAGTGCTGTGTCCACACATTCTTTCCAGAAGGAATGGACCCCAATGCCAATGTGCCAATTCAAGGGGAATCCTAGCTTGGAATTCAAGAACCGCCGACGCCAAATCCGAAACCAAACCAGTGAGGGAAAGGCTCGTTGATCGATCACCGTCACCAGGCGACGCTGGTCTGGGATTGGCGAATGCTTTAGTGGAGACCATCTCCTGTCTCAGAGCGCCGCCTGCGGGCTCGACGCCCCAAGCGAGAGCGATCCATCCCGAGCCATCCTACCGGGAGCGCTCCGCGGGGACGACGGTCGTGACTTGGAAACTCATAGCAACCAGTCGGCGATATCGCCGTCCTTGGGCCGGGTGAGTGCCGTCGCCCCGAATGCTCCATTGATGGCCATTAGTGCAAATCAAACACGAGCTTGGATCTGTGTCATTCAGCGAAACGGAACGGCAAGAAAAGAAGCAAAAGATGTGAGAGATAAAATGATAAACAATTATAGATAACCCCACCAACGTGCCATTAGCAATTTGCCCCAGAACGGTTAAACTTTCCCCCATATATCCGGTGTGTATCTTCATATCAGTGCATGGGAAATGGAAATATGGGATAGGCTGGGATGAGAATGCGGGATGAGTGTGATGAAAATGGCGTGCGATGTTTGAGAGTGTGGTAGAGCAGGCAGCCGTCAGGGTGAGTGAGCACCCAACCCCCACGTCCTGGGAGCGTAGGTATGTCAGACGGAAACGACGGGATGTTGGTGAGTTGGTGGTGATGACGATGCTGAGATATGGGATGAACCGCCGCAACGGACGGGAGCTGTCGGTGAGCTAAAACGCAAAACGTTGGCTCACAAACGGTAGGCGGGATCTAAAAGGGAATACCCGGTGCAACTTGTCATGGTGGTCATCAACTTCACCACTTTCGCGCATATAATTTGCTAGGCGACCCTCGTCTTACGCAGGGCCGGCGATGCTGCGCACATGGCGGCGTAGTCAACCACCCGCGCCTAGGCGATAGGCGACGAGGTGGGAAGTGCTATCTGTTCTGTCCGATCTGACGGCTGCTCGGGGCCGGTTTGTGGCGGTGCAGCAGAGAGAGAAAAGAACCGAGTGTTTTAAATATACTAGATGATACCTGCTCATCTAGAGGAGCCCGACTCATTGGATGACTGCACACACGTGCCTGTTCACGTCAACAAGTCCCAAGTCCCCAAATTGAGCCTCGAGGGTCATGAGAGGTTGTCATGAGTGGGGCATTCCAGGAAATTGGTGGGAGAGAGCAGCCGGGACCGGGAATATGCCAGTGTCAACGAACTGCCAGAAGTGGAGCCTTGAAACTGCAAGCCACAAATTGGAAGACCCCACCCAGTGTTTCCTCTCTCAGACGTAGAAGCAACCCCCAGACGCCACAAATCCCAAGAGCGAGGATAGAAGCTAAAGCTGTCAAAAACAGGCGACTTACGAGGGGCATGGAAGCATCGATTGGCTCTCATTTGTTTGTTCTCCTGTTTATGAATGAAAGAAATGGGTGGGGGCAGGGCAGCTTCTGCTCCTGAGCCCGACACCTTGGACACCCCACCCGGCGGCCATTCCCGGTGCATCTTGCAGCAAAGGACAACTGCACGAGGCCGCAACCCGGGTCCGCAGTCTTGGGTCTGAAAATGGACGATGTCCGTTTACCACCCCTGCAGCCCAACATCACAGGTTATCCATCCCAAACGACACTGCCCTCCAGGAGTATTGCTGCCACCTCCAGAGTAGATGTAACACGCAAGATGCAAGTCAGCCAGCTCGTCCGGAATTCTTACTTACCTTCTGTTGCCCCTCACCTTGTGCCTTGTACTAGCCAATATCACCCATATCCGTACACCAGTTCGGCTCCGTGCAACCACCCATCACCCACCCTTCTAGAAAGTGAAAGTCCCTAACTGGCACAGCAACACCGAAAAAAAACGTGGTTTGGTTAATTTTGGCCCTCAAGGCTACTCGCGGCAGAAGCCTGCCTGGTGTAACCCTCCCTCGAAAGCAACCCATCATTCTGACTGTGCTGTGCCGTCAATACATGCCCATCGTAGTAGCACAAACATCGTTCTCTCAGGACCGGCAGTGTGACTTGCATTTATCATCCTTCATAGAACATTCCAAACTTTGCCGTACAAATCACACACACCAAGGTACCTGCACTTTTTGTCATCATGTAAAAGTAGGTCATCCCTCCTTATTGCTACTGTCACCATGCATGATGTACCTACTGTAGTGGGTGATGGACCATACATACATATATATATATGCATGTAACGTCCCTTGCACTCGCCTTGCCTTAGGATGACTTTGCGTATCCGCACCGAGCCACTCTACCGGGACACACCACGACATATCGGAAGCTTCGGACTTTGTTTTACCGGTCAGCAGGTTTTTTTGTTAGGTCAGGGGCCAGTAAGAAACCGTGGACAAAAGTTCTTTTCGGGCCATTTACGACCGATCCAATCCCATCGCTCAGCGAACTATTCATGCAGTGTAAGAGAACCGTTGGTTCCTGAAGGGAACAAATCCAAGGAGGACATGACGTCGGCAGTTGGGTTTTTTCTACTTGATTTGAATAGGCACAGAACTTCAACGGTGAGACCGAGTTGTCGGGTCGCGTGGACGGTGGTTGGGCCGCCGGGACTGTTCTCGGTTCTCGGGGAGGGCCATTGTACATTGGCATCTCGGTCGCTTTGTGTCGACATGATTGGTTCTTTTTTGTGATGCTGTATGGTGCAGCAGTGCCTCATCGACAAAATATTGCGTGTCCGGTATGACTCCCCCATATTATCCTACATACCCCGAGGTGGTAGGTAAGGTAGATAGTCAATAATGTTTCCGGATTTAACACTACATATACGCAGTAGACCCGAGTAATCCCGGCACCGCTTTTGTAACAATAATACACCCCGCGGACACCCCGCGGGACTCCCGGCGGCACTACGGGATATGCGGGGGCGTTTCAGAATATTCCTACTGCTCAGTGTGAGAAAAAGACCTGTGGTAGGGCTGAGCTAAGCCGGCTCGTGGTAAATGGGGGTTCCGTGTGTTTCTCTGGCCGTCAAAGGGGGCTTGTTGTCATCGTCGTGTTGACTGCCCTGTTGAGCAGGTAACACGGTGAGAGGGGGCATTGGCTGAGATGACTCGTGTGTTTCCTCGGAGCTG